ATTTCATGGTTTCCATGAGTTTATCCAGTTTCACAACATTATTTATTAAAGAGATTATCCTTTCCCCATTGAATATTCTTGGTGCTGTGATCAACGATTAGATCAAAGTTTATTTCTGGACTCTTTATTCTGTTCCATTGGTCTATGTGTTTGTTTTTATGCTGGTACCATACTGTTTTGATTACTATAGCTTGAAGAGTAACATAGTTTCAAATCAGGAAGTGTGATGCTCTAGCTTTGTTGTTCTTTGTCAGGGTTGCTTTGGTTATTTGGGGTCTTCTGTGCCTCTGTACAAAGTTTGCAATTTTAAAGTAAATTTTTGGGAGAGATTCAAGATAGCAGAGTAGATAAATGCTGTGCTTGCCTCATCCTGTGAGCACATCAAAATCACAACTAAGTTAGAAAATAATCAACCTGGAGAACCAACTGAAGTCTCGCTAAACAGAAATTTTATAACTAAGGATATAAAGAAGAAGCCACGTCAAGACTGGTAGGAGGGGCGAAGACTCAAAACAGGCTGTTCCCACACCCACATGTGGTGGTTGAAAATCAGGAGAGGTATCTTGGCCACAGAGGTTCCCCATGGAGAAGCAAGAGACCCCAGCCCTACATGTGACTTCCTAGCCTGGAGTACTGGTGCTGGGAAGAGGAGCCCTCACAATATTTGGCTGTGATAAACAGTGGGGATTCCTACCCTCAGGGAGGTACAGAAGGCTGGGGGAAACCCAGACATCCTCTTAAAGGGCCCACACAGGCACTTCCCCTGGACTCCAGCAAAGGAATGGTGACTTGTGGGGCATCCGAGACATATGGAAAGAGATTGAGTTGTGTAACTTCGGGGTGAAGACTGGAGGGACAGTCACCATTTTCCCTGTGTGAGGTCCTCCTCTCAAGCAGCTGGCAGTCAGGCACCATCTTTCCTGTGTTGAGCCCTCCCCCACACCCATGGCTGAATATGAATCTGAATTGGTCTGGTGAGCTCCACTCGTTTCACCCTGGTGACTCACTGAGACCCCAACACACCCAACTCTGTACCTAATTAGTGGCTGAAACTTATGGGAGCTGGCAGGTGGCAACAGGCTTTAGAGTGTTCTGGCTTTTTGTGGAGCTACCTCAGACCTGGTACTGGTTGCAGCCATTCTTGGTTTTTAGCCCATTCCACATGTCTCCAGGTACAGCGCAGGCAGCAACCAACCATTGACTGCTTTGTAGCTCCTACCAGGCACTCTCAGCTGGTTACAGGCAGTGGCTGCCTTGGATTGCATAGGAGCTCCTCACAAGAGGCACCAGAATGAACAAACTTGAAGGTTGACTTCAGACCACAGCAGAATACCACCCAATTAGCTCCACAAGGGGCACACCAAAAGGGTGGTCTCAACAGGCACCAGAACCCACTGGGGGAAATCCTGCTCTTTTTGGTAAGCACCCCACACAGCAGCCCATGAGCTGTGGACGTGACCAAACCACACAGCCAGTCAGGCTGAGGGTCAGTACTATCCACTGATGTGCCAACAACAATCAAAGGTCAACTATAACAGGAAGGCACACATAACCCACACAAGGGACACTCCTGTACACCTGGCTCAGATGACCAGGGAAACTATGCTACTGGGCCCTACAAGACACCTATTACATAAGTCCACCTGGCAAAACTGGGAGACATAGCAGATCTACCTAAACACAGAGAGGCAGCCAAAAATTGGAAACAAAGAAATATGTCCCAAATGAAAAAACAGGAGCATACTCCAGAAAAAGAACTAAACAAAATGGAGGCAAGCAATGTACCAGATACAGAGTTCAAAACAATGGTTAGAAGAATGCTCAAGGAACTTAGTGAGAACTTCAAAAAAGAGATAGCAAGCATAAAAAAGGACATAAAAACTATAAAAAAGAACCAGTCAGAAGTGAAAATACAATAACTGAAATGAAGAATGCACTAGAATCACCTAGATGAAACTGGGGATTGACTCAGTGATTTGGAAGACAAAGTAGTAGAAAACACCCAATCAGAACAGCAAAAAGAAAATAAGAATCCAAAAAATGAGGATAGTGTAAGAGACCATTGAGACAACATCAAACATGATAACATTCACATCATAGGGGCACTAGAAGGAGAAGAGAGAAAGCAAGGAATTGAGAACTTATTTGAAGAAACAATGACTGAAGACTTTCCTAACTTAGTGAAGGAGATAGATATACAAGTCCAGGAAGTGTAGAGAGTCCCCCAAAAGATGAACTCATATCAAGACACATTATAATTAAGATGGCAAAGGTTAAAGACAGAGAATCCTAAAAGCAGCAAGAGAAAAGCAGTTAGTTACCTACAAGGGAGCTCCAATAAGATGGTCAGCTGGGGCCGGCTGAGTGGTGCATTGGTTAAGAGTTGGCTTGGGATGCCAGCTCTGAGCAGCAGGGCTCCAGTTCAGATCCCACATGAGGGACAGTGACACCACCCTCTACAGCTCGACCTGGAGCGTAGGCTGCAGACCCTGCTGCAGTGGGCTGCCATAAGCTAATGTGTGTGGCCGGCAGCCAGCATGAGCGGCCAGCAGCCGGTGTGAGCTGCCAAGAGCCGCCGTGAGCAGCCATCCAGAAGCCGGCGACCAATCTGCCTCACCCAGGAAGAGCGCAATGATAATACCAACATGGGCCAGTGAAGGGACGTCCTTCACAGCTAGACTGAAGAACAAAAGGACAGCAACTTGTCTGTTTCCCTTCCCCCGCTTCCCCAGGACTGTTCCCCTCCCCCAACTCCCCAATACAATCTTAAAAAAAAAAGATGGTCAGCTGATTTCTCAACAGAATCTTTGCAGGCCAGAAAAGATTGGCAGGAAATATTCAAAGTGATGAAAAGCAAGGACTACTACCAAGATTACTCTAGACAGCAAGGCTGTCATTTAGAATTGAAGGAGAGATAAAGAGATTCCCAGATAAGAAAAAGCTAAAGGAGGGTATCCCTACCAAACCAATGTTATAAGGAATCTTAGAGAGACTTTTTAAATATGGAAAAAATATAAAAATATGAATAATAAAATGGCAATAACTACATATCTATAAAAATTATTATACTATCAATGGAAATGGATTAAATGCTCCAATAAAAAATATAGGGTGAAGCTTTGACAACTTAGAAAACTGGGGGGGGTACACAGATAAAAACAAAACTCAACTGAGGTTTAGAAAGTAAAGGACTTGACTTATATTTCCTGAAATTCATTCCTTCTACAGGGAGGCAAACTTGATGAGGTTTAATGTCTAAGTCTCAGTTTTCTTGTCTGCAAACTGGGAGAGAAGAGGCTGGAGGACTAAACGAAATAATCTCTAGCAAGACTTTAGCACAGTGTCTGGCACATACTCAGTGCTTAATAAATGGTGACCATCTCTATTTTAATTTTCCTGTTTAGATACTTGGATGGCAGCAACTTTTAACACAACTTCATTGGAAGAAAGGGCTAGTGGATGGGTGGTATCTTATTTCCTATGGAACTTAATACTACTATAGTGTTTGGGGACTTAGGTAGGAAAATATCTTTTCCTTCTACCCTTCTCCAACCATCAATAAAATACTTTATGAAATTTTTAAAAAAGATTTTTATTGGGGAATTGGGGGATGGCAACAGTGCTGGGGAATTGGGGGAAGGGGAACAGACAAGTTGCTGTCGTTTTGTTCTTCAGTCTAGTTGTGGAGGACGCTGCCTCACCGGCCCAAGTTGGCACCATCATTGCACTCTTCCCTGGTTGCTGGCTACACACGGTAGCCCATGGCAACCCACTGCGGCAGTGGCTGCAGTCTATGCCGTTACCGGCGACTCACGGCAGCCCAGCTCCAAGTTGAGCTGTTGTTCAGCATCTTAGCTGTGGAGGGCAGTGTCACTGGCCCTCATATGTGGGATCCGAACCAGGGCCCTCTGGCGTCCCAAGCCAGGTCTTAACCAACGCGCCACTCGGCCGGCCCACTTTATGAAATTTTAAGTGAGCAAGTAGTTTTCAGAAATTGGGTGCCTTATGGCATAGCTGAGATTAAAGCCAGTTTATAAGAAAAGTTGACTGTTACTAACTATTGGATAGCAAGAACAGCAGACATGTTAACAATGACTAGAATCTCTGAATAGAAACAGTGCAGCTCCAATTCCTGTCTAAAAAATTTTCCTAAGGGGCCAGCCCAGTGGCTCAGTTGGTTAAGAGCACAAGCTCTGAGCAAAAGGGTCACCGGTTTGATTCCCACATGGGCCAGTGAGCTGCACCCAAGATGAGCTGCCACTGAGCTGGTGAGAGCATGTGCTCTTAGCAGCAAGGTTGCTGACTCGACACCTGTATGGGATGGTGGGCTGTGTCCCCTGCCCCACAACTAAGATTGAACACAGCACCTTGAGCTGAGCAGCCACGAGCTGCTGAGTGGTGGAGGGGTGGCCAGATGGCTCAGTGTACTACAAGGTTGCGGGTTCTACTCCCACATGGGATGGTGGACTACACCCCCCACAACCAGATTGAAAGGGGCAACTGGGCATAGAGTTGAGCTTGAGCCCTCCACAACTAAGAAGGACAACAACTTGACTTGGAGCTGATGGGTCCTGGAAAAACACAATGTTCCCCTTCTCCAATTCCCCAACACTGTTTCCCTCCCCAATTCCCCAATAAAAAATCTTAAAAAAACTACAAAATAAAAATGTTTCCTATGATTTTAGTATTTATAGGAGGAGTATATTGAGCTTATTGACAAATAACACCACCTACACCCAACTGCAGGTAAAGCTTATGTTACATAGTTCTAAGAACACACATTAAATAAAAACAACCCAGAAACCAGCTACATCCTCCAAATTCCTATAGAATGTTAACATCACTTGTAATTTTTTTCTATTGCCACATCTCACCAGATCTAACCATCAGCATCATAATTGGGGTATTAGTAGAGATTATTATGTGCTTGCAACTGTCTTACTGGAATCTGGTATGTATGTGTATACACACACACACACACACACACATCCAGCAGGGACTTACACCAGAGTCTGTAGCTGACATTCGGGGTAACTCAAGTCCTCACACAGAAGTTTCACCCCCTGATTCCCAAGTGCATTTTTTGTTGCACTTTGCCAGGCACAGGTGTGTTAGCCTCTGGTTGATAATCAAAGCAGAAGAGAGCTCCTTGCAATAGGCTTCTGTAAGGTGACAGTTTTCCAACCTGCAGAAGCACCACACACACGCTAAGACAGTGAGAACATTGCCAAGACCCCACCTTCTTGGCTGTTTCCAGATGCTGGAGTCCTCAGCTATAGCCCTTTTTATTAAATCTATACCCTCTGTCAATCATGTGCTAGTGATCACAGTCATGAAGAACAGGAATGAGAGAAGGATGAGACCCATGGGACCAACAATGGGAACCAGGGTCTACATCAGTAGGAGGTCCCATACAGGCTGTCCAGCACAGCTGGGTGTTACCATTGCTCTTCTCTAAAACTGGAAGATGCTCCACAGGAAGAGAGGAGAGACTTACAACAACCTCTGCAGGAAGCACTTTGGATGTCTCAGAGTCATGTACAGTAAGTGGGCACCCTCATCCAGGAGCTCATTTGCTGTGAGGTTCAAACACGTGAGGGACTGGTTGTTTTCAAGGGAGGAGGAGAGATCAGCCTGTTGCTGGGCGTTGGCAAAACATGATACCAGCCTGCAGGGGGGATGGGAACAAGTCATTGTTGAGAGCCAAACACCAGCTAGTTGTCTCCAGTGTTATCCCTCACTCCACTCCATTATGTCACACCCTAGACTAAATGGTCTGGAGCAGTGGTTGTCAAAGTGTGGTCCCTGGGCCAGCGACATGAGGATCATCTGGCATGAAATGCAAATCCTCAGAAACTCTGGATGTAGAGTCCAGTGATTTATGTTTTAAGGTGTTCTGCAATCACCCAGAAGGTGTCTTAAAACAAATTCTTGGGCCATATACCTAGAGTCTGATTGAGAAGATCTGGGTGAAACCCAAAAGTTTGGATTTTAACAAGTTCCCAGGTAATGTGGCCACTGCTGGTCTACATGTTGAGAAGTAATCATTTAGAAATCCAGTCAATCAAGCATATCATACATCAATGGCACCGATATCCAGTTCTTGGAGATGAATATTCTCATATGTGCCAATGGAATTTCATTGGAACACTATGCATATCATCATGGCCATTGGGGTAAGAGGTTTCTCAAAAATTCTGGTTCCTCCATTTACTATATATGAAAATGTGGTCAAGTTACTTAACTTAATTAAACCTCATTTCCATCTTTAAGTTGGCAATATGTCATACCTTCATGTTAGGTGTACAAAATTGATAATTCACATGAAATGCCAAGTGAAATACATGCCACATAGCTAAAGTTCATGAAAATTCAGCTAAAACATGTTCTTCTCTTAGAGTTTCAACTATAATAGAGGAACCAAAGTTAAGTAGGAAATTAGAACACAAAGTAGACTGTCAACTGCATTCAATAAAATAAGCTGAACTTATATGGAGTCATCACTTTCCATTTTGGGTATCCATTTATTCAATGAGAAACAATTTAGTGACCCAAATCTTCTAATGACACAATTTGTTTCCCTGGTAAATCCTCACAGGAAAAGAAAGAAAGGTCCTTAGCGATGGTCAGTGATGATAGTACCTACTGTTAAATGCATATGTGCTCGGATGGTTGCATTCAATCCTCAAGTCCTGTGACATGTGCATTATTATTCCATTCTACTGGTGGGGAGAAGACTTAGTCAAGTAGCCCAGGATCATATCAGTAGAGAAAGAGCTCCAATTTGAGACCAATAAATTACATTAAATTGTGTTCCTGTTACTACTCAAATGTGGTCACATGAGGATCAGTGGAACCTGATGATGAGTGATAATCATCACTAGAGCAACCCCATGGAGAACTCCCCAAGGGAACATCCCTCAAACCAGAGTACAACCAGGAAAGGGAGAGCCTGCCACTCCTGAATTGCCCTTGTCTGGAAAGGATGAGGCTGGTAGCTGGTATTCTGAATCATGACATAGGAGAAATATGAACCATAAACAAATGACCCTTAACGGAGGATGTTACCCAGTTTCTGGGAGTTTCTTTGGACTCAAGGCTGTTATATACAGTTGTCCAGCTGTTCAGTGATCAACACAAGTAGAAACTAAATTGCAGCCCATTTTCTATTCTGGGACATGTGGCCCGAGCGGTACTGTTTCCAATCAGAATAAGATTTTTTTTTTCTAGGCTACATGAAGATTGGTAGATAGGTGTGTCGCAGGTCTGTTTATATCTGAGGGTTCTTAGTGAGGGTGTGATATACCTGAGATATTGCAGATTACATTTTGGGTGCCTCAAGACCTCACACAATGGGGGAAGCATATCATTCTGGTCGTTTCCTTGAAGGGTCAGATGTGTTAGAGTCCTGTGACCACCAAAAATGATGCAGAGATTCTGATAAGCATCAGCTGGGGGGATATTTTCGAGGCTAAGGCAAGGAAAACAAAGGTGAGAGCTTGAGTTTCTCTAGCTATACAGCATATACATAGAAATGAAGGGCTACAGTATGTTTAAACATTAGAAACTAGTGTTTTCACATTTTCACCTTTATTAAGGTATTACCAACAAATAAAAGTTGTATATATTTAAGGTTCATGACAATGTTTTGATGTATGTGTATCTGGTGAAATCATCACCACAATCAAGGTAATCAGGGCACCCATTACCTCCCTAGTTACCAATTCCTGTTTTTCTTTTGTGGTGACAACACTTAAGATAAACTCTCTTAGCAAATTTCAAGTGTACAACAGTAGTGTTAACTATCATTGCATTGCTGTACATGAGGTCTCTAGAACTTACTCATCTTGCATATCTGAAGCTTTGTTTGGAAGCTTCATTTTCTTTAGTCATCTCAAACTTTTGCCAAGGGGAAGTCAGTCATGAGTCATCACTCCAGACAAAAGCTGTTCTATGGCTTTTTGAAAAAGATAAGGAAGGGTTGCCACACACCCCTTTTTATTTTTCCTTTTTTTTTTAAAGTTTCAGGTGTAAAAAACAACAAAATGATTAGACATTCGTACCCCTCACAAAGCGATAACCCCCCTCCCAGTCTGCTACTCCTCTGACATCATATATAGCTGTTACAATACCATTGACTATATTCCCTATGCTGTACTTCACATCCTGCGACCGTCTAAATTACCTCCAGAATGATTGTGCCACTTTATAATGTCATCCATCAGAATAAAAGCCCTATTTCTCTGAAAACAAAAATGGAAACACTTCAACTTTCAAATGATACATGTGGTAAGTTTATAGCATTTATACTTCTGAAGTGATTAAAGCTTGAAATTGCACTAAAAAAAAAGATAAGGAAGGGGAGTGTCTGTTTTCCCTGAAGTGGTAGCAATGGGCCACTATATCCTGCTGAATACTTTGGGTCCAAGGAACGGTCTTGCATTTAGAATCAGAATTGCATGGCTGATGTAACCCTAAGTGGGCCAGGACTGTTATTTCTCTACATTGAGAAAGAAAAAGACCCAAGACGATACCTGCAGCTTGAGAAGATCTCTGTGATATCAAGGCTTCCTTAGCTGATTACATCATTTTTTCTCTTATTCCCCAGACCTCTTCTGTGCCCTCCCCACTCCCACTTGCCCAAATTTAAGTTTGCAGGACTTTCCCAGAACACTAGCCACACAAGTGAAGACTCTGAAATGCTGTCTTAGTTATGTGGACAAATGCATACTTTGTTCTAAATATAAGTATTTACATTAAATAATTACTGCTTTCTGGTGTTTTCTTTCCAACTTCATCCAACTACTTATATTTTTTGATCATATTCAGACAGACATACCAAGTGAATTTTAATGCGCAGGCCAGTCTCAGAACTTTATCAGTGGTTCCCAGTCAGGGTGATTTTGTAGGCTCTGGGGACACTTGGTAATGCTTCGAGACATTTGTGGTTGTCACAAGTGGGGGGTGTGCAGGGGCTACTGGCATCTGGAAAGTAGGGGCCAGGGAAGTTGCTAAACATCCTACAGCATACGGGACAGCCCTCCACAAAAAAGAAATACTCAGCCCAGTTGCCAGCAGAGGTTGAGAATTCCTGCTCTACGTACAGCTCTATCTATGGTTGTCACGAAAAGAGTAAAATTGTCCCCAGGATCTTGGTGTTTCTTGCAGTGTTTTGTGGATGTACATTTAACATTGCATTAAATTTACTTTATAAAAAATGTAGAATGGTGGTGGCTAGGGTCTTGGGAGAAGGCATAATGGGGAATTACTATTTAATGGGCACAGAGTTTCAGTTTTGCAAGATGGAGAGTTCTGGAGATGGGTGGTGGTGATGGCTGCACAACAACTTGAATGTGTTGCATGCCACAGAACTGCACTCTTAACAATGATTAAGATGGTAAGTTTCATGTTATGTATATTTTACCACAATAAAAAATCTGGAAAAAGTTATATGATTTTCTCAGTAGGACTGGACCATCTCAATTCCTTGTGTGTTGAGTACCCGGTTGGAGTCTGGGGCAGGAATTCAAATATTGCTCCAGTAAGCTTGGCCATGGCCCAGGGGTTTTAACCTGGGGATTAACTTCTATCTACACCACTTTCTGAAGATTACAGGCAGCAGAGGCTATGTTTTCACAAAGAATCCTCATTGATGTGGTACTGAGGAAGCTCTGACTGATGTTCAGGACTATCAGATTCTTGTTAGAGCCAAACATGGAACAAAGGTCCATCCAGAAAGGGAGCATGTGTTGATCATTCTGCGACCTACAGAGAAGAGACAAAGGAGGGAATTTACCAACTATTGCTGGAGAGAAAATTAACATTTGTGTGTTATCGTGAAAGTATTTATGGCTGCTCTGGGCATACACACTTAATAGATAAATACAACTCTAAAATTTGGATGATTTAATAATTTAGCATCACTATCAGACAACTCATCACCTAAGACATAGAAAAAACTTAATGATTTTTTTGCACAACAATCTGACAGAACGTTAGAATAAGTCAAAATTCTAAGCATCTCCTTAACAAAGGATTGAGAGCACTATCACTGCTGATAAAAGATTGAGAGTAAAATCCATATCAGTAGAGGATATTAGAATATATGATGGTATGTCCATATACACAATAGTCTCAAGATAACTTACAACTATATTTGCTGACCTAAAATGATGTCCATAAAAACTTGAGAAAATATAATCTTTAAGAGGTTACATATTCATATATACAAACTTCTCAAAGTTTATTTTGTTCTGGTAGTTGCTACTGGATGGTAGGATTTCTGTCAGTGTCATGGTTTCCTTATCTTTTTTTCAATAGTGCTTTAAATTTTCATTTATATAGAGGATCTTTGTATTCAGAAAAAATATTTTGATTTTTAGAAAAATGGTGAGTGAGGGCACTTGATACCATGATGTGTCCAAAAGATAAGGCAGTTAAGTTATTGATGAGGGGATACTGTGGAACCTAGGGAGTAGTCTAATATCTGACAGTTTCCATGGAGAAAAACAAAAGTAAAAGTGCTTGCTCAAGGAATAAAAGTAACCTAGTTAGTTAAATATAATAATAGAAAAATATAATTGAAAGAGGCAGCTGGTATTAAGCTCATATATGCTAAGCACCTTTTAGAATTAGATATATTTAAAACATTCTACTCTGAAGTAGGGGGTACTGTGGCTACTTGCAGGTAATGAAATAGAACCACAGGAAGTAGCTAACATACCCCCTGTCACACAGCTAGTAACAGAGACAGAACTCAAAGTCAGTCTACACTAATCCAACACAGGTACTCACTTCCAACCATCTGCTACCTTTCAGCTTGTGATGGGGCTACGCTGATTTCAAAGCAAGGCAGTCAGTTTCCAGAGTCTAAAATTTTATCTGAATTTTCAACCCAGTCTCTAACTCTTTTGTTACTCAAGTTAGTCTGTCTTCTGAGGAACATTGTTCTGCCTCCTGAGAAGGACAAGATTATACAAGATTGTGCTTGGGGGAATGCTTTTTTCAAGGCGCTAAATAAGAGGTCATTTTATTTGTGTCAATGTGAATATCCTCTTAAGATTCAGAAGAGCCTGGAAAAGAAATGAAGAGTTTCTAAAGGCAAGAAGCTTCATTAGTAGACTTGATTGAATAGAAGTTTATGATTTGATGCAGGAAGAAAAGAGAAATCATACAGAACTTCAATTTTTTTAGCTCTAGTGCCCCTGGCTGTTTTAAGAATAGGTTACTGCTTTGGTTTTACTAGTGTGCTTGGCTTGATGAAAGACACATTTAACATAAATGACCTTTTATAAATCTATAGGCAACACAAAGAGGAAAAGTTGTTATGTACCCAGAATTTGTGTCTTGTCAAAGAGCATGTTAACATGCTCTGGGGAAAAAGTTAAAAGACTGTGTAAGGTTTAGTGTTAGCAATGGTTTGATTAAGATAAAATAAGCCACTAAACAGCACCTTCTCCTTATGACCCTGCTACTGAAGGAAGTGATTCAATTAGAAAAACATCTCACAACTTAACTACCATTTTGGGAGTTACAGACCAGCAATGCTATGGATCTGCTGTGATGGGTAGACAGAGGGGAAGTGGCATATGAAAGAACTTTCATGAAGAGCATGAGTTTGCATTACAGACAAGAATCATCAGAATCAAATCCAAAAACATCCATTTCTTCCTTCTTGTTCTCAGACAGGAGCACCAAAAACCAGGTAACCAAATTAAGGTTAATTAACTACCATTCAACACTGGAACCTTCATTGGTTTTAACCACACCAAGGTTAAAAAGAAACAAAAAAAAATAGAGACTATTTTGACTTGGGATGTTGGATGGAAGAGAGAGAGGAGGTTATTGGTGCAATTTCTTTTTTATTCAAAGCATCCTCCTGCTTTTGGATGACAGAAGAAAAAAAAATCAGGATATGGATAATGGGATAATGTCTATGGACTGCTAGTTATCCATAAGGTAGAGAAATGGTCATGACAAGCTGTCATGGTCTTAACCCATCCTGGGGGTAACTCAAGTTTATGGCTCTTTATTACAAGATGAAGGAATGTGTGGGAATGTGAAGGGAATATGTAAAACAGAAACCTTTAGCAGGAAAGAAATGAGGGCATTTTATTTTGATAAATAAAATATTTATCAATATTTATGAAGATTTCAGATGACAACTGAGGAGTGAGAAAGAGGTGAGTTGATAAGATGTTGATAAAATGTCAGTATGTTTGGGGACACTACTCATTACCATGAGGTAGTGACTTTGAATTGTAACCACAGGTCTTTGTAACTCAATAGACTTGAGTTCTAATACCAGTCAAGAAGTCTTTTCTGAGGCCAGTATCTTTACTTCCACATGGAAGATTACATGCTACCAGTAGCTGCCAGGCTAGCGACAGTATTTGGAAACTATATGAGCTCAGTTGATGTTACTTGAGTCTAAATCAAGAACACCAGACTCAGAACCAACTAGGGCCATCTCATTGTTAAAGTATGTTGGGCGAGGTGCCTGTGAAGAGAACTTCCATGACAACAGGTGAGATGTAGCTTTCAGAAATGTTGTTGGTTCAACCTCTGAGGACAAATCTCTATTGCGTTTCCAGCAGTCATGCCAAAAATAGGACAGTTACTTCATACATCTCCTGAAGTCTACACAACCAACAGGCAGATTAAAACAGGTTGAGCCACTTGTAAAAACTGCTGAGCTAAAGAAAAAAGGAGACAGGTCCCCAAACAAGGTCTTATTCTAAAACTCCCATTCCTAATCACAAATTGTACCTCCTACCTTAAATGGTGAGCTGGCAGGAAGCAATTCCAGCAAGAAGAAAATACTGACCTTAAGCCACAGGGAGCAGGAGACTCTGTTCTCTTCCTAATGGAGGATGAGATGAAGCTAAAGGTGGGAGAACCAGTAGAGTAAGAAGTGACTGTTCTTACCTCTGGACCCATGTGTCAGATTCTGACACAGCGTCGTTCTCCAGAAATATCCCCTTTTCTACCTGCAGCGAGATTTTCTGCAAGTTTTGACAGTGCTTGAGGCAGAAGGATGAGTACACGATGTCCATTTGATTTTTCAAATGCAGAGACACTTCCTTCATGTGGACCATCGCATCCCTCACGAGCTGCTCCTCCTGAGATTCGTAAAGACAATACAACACCTCCTTCATGTCCATCATCAAGGACAAGGGTTTATTCCCACCGTACTTGGATTTCAGTACTTCCTGCTTGATCCCCATTGACACCTGGCAGCTGAAAGTGGTCTCCAGCTCCCTGGCTCTCTTCTCATTCAAGAGGCCAAATAAGAAGTACACAACATGGGTCAGGGTGGGGTTCTTCAGCCTTTCTTCCTTGGAGAGCAACTTCTGTAAGTCCCCAACGTCCCGCCTGTGGCTCTCCCCGTCTTCCTCCCCCTCACTCTCCAGAACGTAGAACATGGCAGCAAGCAACTGCTGGACGCTGAGGTGGATGAAGGAGTAGCAGCCATCACAGTCTCGGTCCTTCTGGATGATGTTCTTGTCCAGGAAAGGACAGAGGTCAGACTCCGCTACCCCAAGTCTCCCGAGGTCTTCTCCATCGAACACAGATGCCTGCGTCCATAGGCCCTCAGCAGCCAGGACGCACAGAGCCTTCACTGGAGCCGCGAGGCACTGACTGGGGCAGCTGCCAGGAGCCGGCGGGAACTGGCTGCACAGGAAACGCAGGAACAGTGATGTGGTGGTTTGGCACGTAGGGGCTGGGTCTTCCCCCTTCTCCATCTGCAGCTTCAGACAAGTGCACACGACCCAGCACACGGCAGGAGCTGAGCCCATGTGGAACAAAGCTGGATTGCTCTTCATCAGGTCGAAAGCTCGCAGTGCCTGATCCTCCTCTTGAAAGTATTTCAAGAAATACTCCCTCCTGTCCCGCTCTGAGAGCCCCTCGATCTCCACAAGGAGCGGCTCTTCCAGCAGGAGCCGGAGCTCTCTCAGGGCCCCCGTTCGAGTGGTGATCAGCAAAGTGGCCTTGGGTAACATTTTTCTCTTCAGCAAACTCCCCAGGAGGACGGGCACCGGCTTCTGCTTCTTCCAGTCACCACAAATGTCATGGATGAGTGACCCCGAGGGGACTCTCAGCTCATCGAAACCATCGATGATGATCAGGACTTTCTGTGCCTGGCCTAGGATCTCTGGACCAGCTTCCTTCAACTCTGGCCAGTTCTTAGACATTAACTCCGCAAAAGTGCACGCCCCCTTGTGGTTGAGTTCCTTGCAGCTGAGGTAGAAGGCAGAACTGAGTGTCTCTGGGAGGTTGTCCTGTGTCCAGTCCAGCATCACCTTCTTTGCCAGTGTGGTTTTCCCAACACCCGCAGGGCCGTGCAGCACCACGGTGTATGGAAATGGCGCTGCAAGCACTGTAGGGTTATAGAATGGGATCAGCCTCTTATATCTCTGGGTGACAATATGGACATCATCACTGGCTCCAGGCAAAGAATTCTTTTTCCAGATTTGCCAAAACGTCTTCTTTAATATACTTCTGTATTTATTCTGTTTACCTTTAGTGATACGAGGTAGGAAATACACAGGATATAATGGGTTATTTATTAGGAAAAAAGTACTTTGTGTTAAGTAGGAAAGGAAAAAAAGGGAGAAGTGAGATACATGAAGAACTTCCTGACACCATGTTCACTCCAGGAAGATATGATACAGACCTGGTTTTTCTTCTTCCAAACCTTCTATTGCTTCTCCTGGGTTTGTGATATTGTGGCAGTGGGCCCTAGACAAAAGCCTTCCCAGACCATGTGGTCACTAAGGATTTTGCATGGGCTTCAGACAAAGACATTCCTGGACTGTATAGTCAGCAAGACTTCCGCATTTAACATTTCCGAATTCCTACCTCACCTGAGAGCCAGTCAGGAACTGGCACAAGGCTGCATGTCCTAATAAGGAACCCAGAAACCTCAAGGTATGTAGCTCTGAGTCCTGCCCGGGTCGGGGCTCAGCCTCTGGATGTGAATCTGCTGAGCCAGTGCCGGCATTAGTAAAAGTTGCTTCCCATGCCTTGGTGTCCTGTCTCTTTGTCTGGGTTTCCCGCAACAATATCTTCTTCCTGTACTTGTGTGAGCTCTGAAAAATAGAAATTAAAGTGCGCTTGACACAAAAATATGTTTACTATATACACAATAGAATATTACCCAGCCATGAAAAAGAATGAAATCTTACCATTTTCAACAACATGAATGGACCTAGAGGGTATTATGCTAAGTGAGATAAGTCAGATGGAGAAAGACAAATACCATATGATTTCACTAATTTGTGGAATCTTGTCACATCCTGCATGACATGAGCAGTGGGAGAACAAGAGGGGGCGGTGAAGGGTTAAGAAATAAACAGCAGTCAAGAGTTAAATGAACGTGGAGCCAAGGGCCTCCAGCCTTGTGGACTAAGAGCCCTGAATCTGGCCGACACACCGCTTTTATTTCTCCACCTACCCGGAAGTAGCATTGTTCTCTCCACAGTCTGTGAGTCTCATTCCTGAGAACTTGCTCAAGCCAGATTACCCATGCCTTCAAGCTGCTATTACCGAGAGTCCGCCTGCAGTGATAAGATAGATGCTCTGCCTTCACACACCCTATATGCAAACAACCCCAGGAAGATAAGATTATTGTGCTGAGGACAGATACTATCACACCATTAGGTCACTTCCCAAGCAGGTTGAGGGGAGGAATGTAGCTACAGAGGTAGAACACCTCCAGTCTTTTTGGGGGCGGGTGAGGGCCCATGTCCACCTCCATCAGCCCTGAGATTTCTCCTCATGGCCCCCATGCGACCATGCCTGGCTTAGGTTGTTCCTCCCTCGAAGAATCTTACCTGTCATTGACTAACTGGCCATGCTTTGGAGCCAAACGGAGACGCAAGGTGTATGAGCAGTGTCCTCAAAAGGGTCAGTTTAGGCTTAAGCGTGGGGGGACAGATGGCTGGATAGCTGAGTGGCAACAGAATCTAAAGAATAAAATAAATGAGCAAACAAAACAAAAACAGACTCATAGATGCAAACAACAAATTGATGGCTGCCAGATGTGTGGGAGGTAAGAGGACTGGGTGAAAAAGATGAAGGGTTTAAGAAGTATAAATTGGCAGTTACAAAATAGCCATGGGGATGTAAAGTACAGCATAGGGAATATAATCAATAATATAGTAATAACTATGTATAGTGTCAGATGGGTTCTAGACTTACCAGGGGATCACCTTATAAGTTATATAAAACTCTAACTATCTTGTTTACCTGAAAATATAATATTGATTGTCAACTGTAATTGAAAAATTAAATTAATAAAGTTACATAACTTTACTAACAATTGTCACCCCAATAAACTTTAATTAAAAAAGAAAAATTAAAATTAAAAAAATAAAAAGAATACTTATAAATCTTCAAACAAAATAGGTGTGCTTGCTTCATCAGAAGTATGATGATAGGGCCGGACGAGTGGTGCGATGGTTAAGAACTGGCTTGGGATGCCAGAGCGCCCCGGTTCGGATCCCATACATGAGGGCCAGTGACACTGCCCTCTACAGCTAAGATGCTGAACAATAGCTCAATCTGGAGCTGGGCTGCCGTGAGTTGCTGACGACGGCGTTGGCTGCAGTCCCTGTGGCAGTGGGTTACCATGGGCTACCATGTGTAGCCAGCAGCCTGCGTGAGCAGCCAGCAAGCTGCATGAGCGGCCGTCCAGAAGCTAGCGACTGATCTGCCTCGCCTTGGAAGAGCGCAATGATGGTGCCAACTTGGGCCAGGGAAGCAATGTCCTCCACAACTAGACTGAAGAACAAAAGGACAGCAACTTGTCTGTTCCCCTTCCCCCAATTCCCCAGCGCTGTTCCCATCTCCCCAATTCCCCAATAAAAAATCTTAAAAAAAAAAAGAAGTATGATGATAAAGCAGGCTCTAAGGGTGCCAAGACTCTAATCTAAATTCTTTGTCCATAATATGTGCTAGGAAGTGCAATAGCTGGGTTTATAGAGATGAACAGATGACTCCCTGAACCAAGTTACAATGTCTCTACTCTGTAGAACCACAAGAAATCCTTGTTCTAATGAAACTCAATGTGATTTATTGAAACTACTTGTCTATCTTTTCCACTGGACTAGAACAAGTGCCAGGCAATCAGGAGATAGAGCTTCACCTCAACCCATTATAATAATATAATAACCTTAACCCATAATGACCTCAACTCATTATAGCTCCACAGTATTTGAGTAAATAAGGAATGACTTGTCACCTGCCTCAAATACCAGACAGTTCCTAAGTATCTACTCAAGATAAATGAAAATGCATCTACACAAAGACTTGCACAAGAGTGAGTAGAAACAATTCAAAAGTTCATTCATTGATGAATGGATGTACCAAATGTGGTATATCCATACCATGGAATACTATTCAGCAATAAAAAGGAATGAATCAGTGATACATGCAACAACATGGACGAACCTCAAAAATGTTATGTTAAGTGAAAGAAGACAGACACAAAAGACCACACATATCCAGAAAAGGCAAATCTAGACAGACAAAATGTAGATTAATGGTTGCCTGGAACTGGTGGGCAATGAACAGAGAGCAGCTACATATGGACGGGAAAGACCTTTTTGGGGTGATGGAAATGAGAAATTAGATAGTGTTGATGGTTGCAAAAACTCCATGTATTTACTAAACATTATTAATAGTACACTTAAAATGAGTTAAATTTATTATACATAAGTTGTACTTCAATAAAGCCATTTAAAAAAAAAACTACCAGGCAGACTCGAGAGAAAGATTAATGTTAAACTGACCACAACATCATGTGAGGCAACTCTTCACCATGATTGCTTGGTGAGGGTCTCAATTTTATATTATTAAAGTTGTCTGAGTATCTTAAATTGCAATTTTAAAAATTAAAACTTACTGGGGTGACAGTTGTCAGTAAAGTTACATAGGTTTCAGATGTACAATTCTGTAAAATTGCAAAATTTAAGAGAAACTCCATATAACATGCTCCTAATTTTCTATGAACTGAATTCTGATTCTTGCCAATGTCTATTTTCCCCTTCATCTTACATAGGGAAGGAGGCATTCTCCATGAGACAATTGGTGATTATAAATAGTGGAGAAAATGAGGTGGCGAGAGATGGAGTTCTCCAAATGAGAGGACAACAAAGAGGGGTACGCTTCTCTTTGCTTTTTCCAACATTGGATAGAAATGTTGGAAAAGACCAACCAGTCTCACCTTTTTCTAAATGCTGCTGTATTTCTTTTAGGTGTGCACATTTGGGTTCCTGAGTCTGTGTTATCCCTTAAGAAAAGAAGGGACATTATGGGCTCATCATTATTCTAGTATTGAAACTAGGGACCGAGTGGAATTTCAAGATGGCTCAAGTTCAACAACTGGATCCCAATATTTAACCCCAGATTACATAGAAAATATGTTAAGGAGGGGCTGGAGATAAAATTAAAGTGTGTTAGGCCACGATCTCAGGCTTACATGCGTTTTTCTGGCAAGCGACTTCCTGTGCAGCTCAGAATACGTGGTGAGAGGAATGGGCACCTACATAATCATGCTTCCCTAAGAGAATCAGAAAACCTTCATGGATTAGTTCTCTGGTTTCAGTAGATTTAGGTTACATTGTCCTGGTTAGGAATACAGGAGAAAAACTTTCAAGGTGAATTAGAGCTGTTGTATTACCCTTGATGTCCTGAATGTCATCAAAATGTCTTCCTTTCAATATTTCTTTTATCTTCGGGTAAAGAAAGAAGTCACTGGGAGCCAAGATCAGGTGAGTAGGGAAGGTGTTCCAATACAGTTATTTACTGACTGGCTAAAAACTCCCTCACAGACAGTGCTGTGTGAGCTGGTGCATTGTCATTATGCAAGAGCCATGAATTGTTGGCAAAAAGTTCAGGTCATGTAACTTTTTCACGCAGCATTTTCAGCACTTCCAAATAGTAAACTTGTTTAATTGTTTGTCTAGTTGGTACAAATTCATAATGAATGCATTTCAAAAAAGGTTAGCAACATCGTTGCAACAACTTTATGAACTTAATTGTCAGACCTTGTATGTTGCTCCTGCCTTCACTTTTCAAGCAATCCCCAGTCTACTATTGCCTTGAGCTCAAGGCATATTTTTAAGGATATTGGTGATGTCAAGAGAATGTTGAAAATCACTGAATTGAAAGTCCTTTTGGCCAGGAGAGTAAATATTTTCTGCTCTGTGGGACATGGGACATGCAGTTTTTCACAGCGACACATCTCTGCCCTTGTAGGACAAAAGTTGTCAGAGGGCTTACAGAAATGAATGGGTATGCTCTGTGAAAATACCACTTTGTTCACACATACTGAAATGTGAATTTCATAGGATTTTCATAGCCCATAATATATTCTTTTGATTTGGTTTCTCCTACCATTTAGCAATGTAAAAACCATTTTAAACTTGTGGGCTGTACAAAAGCATGTGGCAGGCGGAGTTTGGTATGTGTGTTCCAACTTGCAAACTCCTGCCTCAGGCCAGTCTAACATCCAGCTTATCCAGATGCCACTTTCTGATTTCTATTGTAAATACCAGCTCATTTTAGTTTTCCAGGTTTCACCACTGCCACTTGGATGACAACAGTGATGAGGTCTTATATTTCTTTGCTTTCTTAGCTCTCAGCACCTTTTCCTGAAGAGATTTCAAAGTTGCTTCTGAAAAAGGTGAAAGACATTTGCTCTTTTCAGAGCCAGAACCTGTAGGTGTACAGCTCCATGGTTCTTGATAGTACTTTCAAATCTGTAATCTTCAGAGGCCAGTGAGAGGCTAAACTCTCTCCTGTCTGTTGAAGATAGGGAGCACTAAGCTAAACACAGATCTCTAGCTGGAATAAAACCAGCAATTATTTTTAAAGAAGAAAATGATAGGATAGAAAGTAAATACCCTTGCTGGGGAGAAAGAGAGACAAAATCTTGCAGAACAGTGTTCTTCAGACAAATACAATGTCTGCCAGAAAAGCAAGCTACCTGTGTCATTTAAATTTTTGTTTGTTTTTTTTTTAGCTGAGCCATCCTGCCACTTGTTGGCAGCTCAGTGTCAGCTCAGCGCGGGCTAGGAATCGAATCATTGTTGCTCAGAGCTCAAACTCTTGAGCGAACTCTTAACCAACTGAGCCACCTGGCCAGCCCTCATTTAAATTTTTCTAGTAGCCACATTATAAAAGGTAAAAAAAGGTGCAACTAATTTTTATAATTTTTGATGTAACTGTCTAAAATGTTATCACTTCAAGGTATAATCAGTATAGGAGTTATTGAGACAATACACATAACAATGCATTTAAAAGCTGGTACATACTTTAGCCTTAGAGTACACTTGAATTTGAGCCACATTTCAAGTGCTCCATTTCCTTACGTGACTACTGTATCAGGCAGCAGAGCCCCAGGCCACATGGTCATACTTTGGATGCACATAGGCATCGCCTAGGAAGCTTTTAAGAATTCCATGCCTAGGGGGAGCCACAGATCATTTAATCAAATCTGTATCTCCAGCAATAGGTTCAAGATATCAGTAATATTTAAAGCTCCCCAGGAAATTGCCAAGAAGAGAGAGTTAAGAAACACTGATTTAAAACATGGTTTGCCACTCGGGGTGATTTTGCCCCCAGGGGGACATTTGGCAGTGTCTAGAACATTTTTGGTTGTCACCAGTGGGGGGAGTGTGCTGCCAGCATGTAATGGGTAGAGAGGTGCTGGGGTGCTAGCACTGGGGTACCAAGGACAGTTCTAAATATCCTACAAGGCACAGGATGTCCCTTCTCTACCCCAAAGGAATCACCCAGCCCCAAATGCTGCTGATCTAAAAGTAGGTAGGGGTTTGAATTTGTGTGTGTGTGTGTAAGTTTTTATAGACATACTATATGAGAAGAAAACATGAGTAGGAATAGAACAAAACAGAGTGTATGTCATAATTTAATATCTTAGAGGACATATGAAAGAATGGGATCATGAATATATGTTAGAAACAGCCCTGAACAGGAGAAGGGGTGTATGGGGAGGAGCCTAGGGTAGGTATGATACCCAAAAGGCAAAGAAATAGCTAGAATGTCAGAACCAGGAGAGACACCACCAGGATACATGAAGGTCTAGCATTTGTGTTCAGGAAAGGTCGCCTCTTCAAAGCTCAATGTTGTTTCTGTGTTTCTCAAATCCTGGAGACTATTACTACTTCTTCTTGTTAGGACGCAGTGTGGACTTGTTTCTGCTCACCCCTGAGTTCATCCTTTGCTCTCTTTGACAGGTCTCTTCAGTCCATCTTATCAAAGATCCGTATGGTCACCATCTCCACCCAATAGCTGGTGCAATGCTTAGAGAGAATTTTTGCCAGTTGCTTCTCATCTGCCTTTTCTATCTCTGTCTGGAGGATATGCTGTAACTCATCTTTTGGGGAAAGGGTCCTCAACAGATACTTGAACTTGCTCAACTCATTTTGGTTGAGCTCTTCCAGAAGAGGCTGCAGGCTGAAATCCATCTGTGAAGAAGGTACCATCTTGTCCCACGTGTAGGATCTGAGCTTTTGGAATTAAAGAAGACAGAGACAGCAAGTTGGTACTCCTATCTCTGGTTGCCTCTATGCCAGGAACTGGGCTATTTTCACTGTCTAACCTGGTGCTTTAAGAACAAACAAAAAAGGTAAGATTCACTCAGAACTCTCTTACTTCTTGCCTTGACATAGTGGCTTACATTTTGAGAGTCAGGGACTATTTTGAGAACATGCAAATCTCCAAGTGTAGGTAGGAAGTTTGAGCTGGGTTCTTTCCACCTCTGACTGCTTGGGGTTCCCATACACCCTTCCCAGAGACAAAGGGGTTGAGGTTCAAGCTAGGGTCAAGCACAGGCAACTCTGTTGTGTTCCTTAAGTGTACATCCACTCTACTTTCTTATGAATTTTGTCACCAACTTTCGGTCACCAACTCCAATATCTTTAACTGTGTTTCTACCAAAGGTGGTTATAGGACTTTGCTGATCAATAAGTCTTTTTTTGGTGGTGATTTTGAGAGAATGTTATCACTGTCCTGATAAAAACGGGCAGGAAGAGTCCAGTTCCCTTTGAGCTTCACCCCTTCACTTGGCCTGACCTGTAGAGATAATTCCTATAATCGTGAAGGGAAAACCCCCTGCCAAATGCAGTAGAGCTGCAAGAGGGAAGCTGGCCCCTGGGGACAGGGTAGACTGCCTCTGAGTATACTGCAGACTTTGATGTGAGGGATCAAGTCACCTGAAGCTTCCCGTATATCTGAAATCTCAGGTGTCAACATTCTACTCTAAAAACAGGATACTGTCATCCAAACTTGCACACGACCAACCCTGTTCAAACACACACCTAATAGTTCTATTTGTATTGGGGTTTGAAACAAATCTTGTTGACCACTCAACATTTTTTTTTCACATAAACATATATATTTTTTCATTTTTCTTAAAATTCGCCTAACATAAACTTAACCATTGAACATTTTAAGTGAACAATTCAGTGGCATTCAGTACACTCACAATGTTTTGCAACCATCACCTCTGTCTAGTTCCAGACATTTTCGTCTCCCCAAAAGGACACTCCACACCCATTAAGCATCGCTCCGCATTCTCCCTAACCCTTGGAAACCACAAATCTGCTTCCTGTCTCTATGAATTTCCCTGTTCTGGAAGTTTCACATAAATGGAGTCTCACATTACATACAAAAGCTAATTCATTGTTTCATACACCTGAAACTAATAATAAAAAAATGATAAATAAAAATTAATTAAAAAAAAACAGTCACCAGATGTAAAGTACAGCATAGGGAATATGGTCAATGATTGTAATAACTATGGGTGGTGTCAGGTGGCTACTAGATTTATCAGGGATCACTTCATAAGTTATAAAAATGTCTCATCACTACGTTGTACACCTGTAACTAATATAATACTGTATGCCAACTGTAATTGAAAAATTAAAAAGAAAAAAGCTAATTTAAAATGGACCAAAGAGCTAAATGTAAGAGGAAAAAATACCTAATATTTAAGGTATTCATGAGCCACCTAACGTTTTACGCAGGCTTAAGAGAAAGGACATTTTTCTAATGAGTGTTTCTTCTCATATTAACAGAGGCAACTGTGATCCTCCCTTCCCATCTTCCTTCCTCAAAAGGCAAGAACACCACTGCTTGAGATCCTCAATGCCTTGATTATTTTTCTAATTTGCAGAGTCCTGCTTGTTCCTATGATCTCCTCAAATTTGACTTCATGTCACATTTAACTAGCAGGTTTCATATTTCTTCTCCTTTTGGAGACAATGGCAACTACCCCATTCCCCATACCATTTATATGCTAATTAGTTTTTTTAGCATATAATTTAGTCCTTGTTGAAAGAGCTGAATGAAGACATTTGTAAAGGTAATCCTTTAAAACACGGAGAAGAGAAATTTAGAGAGGTTAATTGATGGCCCGTTCTCATCTAGCTGTGAAGTGTGGAAGCCAACATCCCAATGAAAGCAGTCTTATTCCAGAACTTGTGTTCTCAATTCCGTTGCTAATTTATTCAAATAGACACCATCCTAACATCCTCTGGCATTGTATGTAAAAATAAGGACATTTCAGAAGACAAAAGTCAACTGATTAAACATAGAATAAAGTATTCTGTTAAATTAGTAGACAGATTAAGTAAAATATATCAAAACCTGATGGGTTTTCAAGGCTAGTGATCATTATACAATACTCATTGTATAATTACAGTGGAAAAGAGAGAAGTCATATGTGCTATGTGATTACATAATTGCAGTGATGAAGAGAATTTTACATAGAAATTGTATATATACACCCCAAAGTTCAGTGGTTGTATTTCCATTGCAATGCAACAGGAGATTCTAATTACTAGTATTGACCTCCCTGTCTTTAATTAGCATGAAGACATATTTATTCAGTCGAAAAATGATTCAACTACATTATGGAGACCTGTCAGAGGAGGAACAAAACTGTCCTTTGTATTTAACAAACAAGATCTTAAGAAGAGCAATTTCAGGAGAATGGCAGGATAAGAAGCTAAGTTGAGAAGGACAGAAACATGTATGAGATGTCTTTACTTGAAGGCATGATTGTAAAATGCTGCTTCTAGAAACTCAGTAAGAAGAGAGTAATTAGAGGCTAGATACCAGCTTTAGGACAAATAGAAGTTTAGATACCAGCTTCATATGGCAACACATTAACCCATTGACTATTATTGAGGATTTCTTTACCCATAATGTGGCAATTGCCCTAGACAAAGTCCTTCCCAGACCTTGTGGTCACCAAGGATTTTGCGTGGGCTTCAGACAAAGACATTCCTGAACTGTATGGTCAGCAAGACTTCCGCATTTAACATTTTCAAATTCCTACCTCACCTGAGAGCCAGTCAGGAACTGGCACAATGGCCACATGTCCTAATAAGGAACCTGGAAACCTCAGGGTACATAATCCCAAATCCCACCTGAGTGGGGGCTCAGCCTCTGGATGTGAATCCGCTGAGCCAGTGCCGGCATTAGTAAAAGTTGCTTCCCATGCCTTGGTGTCCTGTCTCTTTGTCTGGGTTCCCGCAACAGTAATACTTTGTGAATAGTGAATGTTCACACACAAAACATGTTATTCTATGTTGTTCTCATTGGGGCTAAGTTAACCCAATTTATATTCATATTCCAGTGGCCTTAGGAAACAGATTCAGCAAGAAAAAAAAAGCTGTTCAAAGTTGTAGAAGGAGTAATCTGCAGAGCGTCCCCGCCAAGACATTTCTGCCTTTTCACAAAGGGGAGTTTGACCTGAAACCTCAGTTATCCTTCAAAGCTTTCACATCCAAGCATTCAAAGAAAGGGAGAAAATATTTTTATTGTAGAGATGTGACACTTGAATGAAGAAATAGAGAAATGGAGTAAAGAAGTAAAGAAGCAAGAATGTCACTCACCTCTCCAACACCTGGCCCTATTTTCTGACTATGAGTGCTGCAGGTTTGGAAAAACTCCTATAAAGAGTCTCTTTCCATGCAAGTTCTGGGATTGGTCCTTGCAACCCAATCTCATTGCTGAGAACTTCCTGAGTTCACACAATTACTGATAGGTGGAGACCATCTCTTCACTTTCAGCATCATATCCCCTTAGACCAGCGGTTCTCAACCTTGGCTGCATGTTACACTCACCTGTCTGGAGCATCGTTTCAGAGTATTAATACCCAGACATTCTGATTTCTAGGTCAGGTGGGGGCTGCCCAGACCTCAGAGTTTTTTTGTTTTTGTTTTTTTTAAAGATTTTTATTGGGGAATTGGGGGGATGGGAACAGTGCTGGGGAATTGGGGGAAAGGGAACAGACAAGTTGCTATCATTTTGTTCTTCAGTCTAGTTGTGGAGGACATCGCTTCACTGGCCCATGTTGGCACCATCATTGCGCTCTTCCGGGGCGAGGCAGATCAGTCGTCGGCCTCTCACTGCAGCTGCTGGCCGCTCACGCTGGCTGCTGGCTACATACGGTAGCCCATGGCAACCCACTGCCACAGGGGCTGCAGCCTACGCCGTCGCAGGCGACTCATGGCAGCCCAGCTCCAGGTTGAGCTGTTGTTCAGCATTTTAGCTGTAGAGGGCAGTGTCACTGGCCCTCATATGTGGGATCCGAACCGGGGCCCTCTGGTGTCCCAGGCCAGTTCTTAACCATCGTGCCACTCAGCCGGCCCCAGACCTCAGAGTTTTTTAAAGACGCCCAGATGATTGTAATTGCAGGCAAGTTTGAGATCCACTACTTAGAACCTTCAGCTGTGGTTAGCTGCCTCCTTCTGTCATACGGATATTTTAAAGCCCATCCACACTTCATGAAATATAAATAACACATTGAGTACAAGGGGGTCCGTCACAAGCCAAGGTCATTAGTTTTACACTGACAATATTAATTTTTGTAGATATACAAAAATGACTTGAAATTTTTGGATTTTGAAGTTCTTTTCATGTTTTAGAACAAACATATTTATATCTACATCTCTCTCCTTATCTATCTGCTCAAACTTGAAGAGTCTCTAGACAAACACAATGTACTATACAATAAATTGAATACAATAAAATAATTTTAATACAGAATCCAGGCAGGGAGTAAGAAGTACAAATTGGTAGTTATAAAATAGTCATGGTGTTAAAGGCCAAGCAAATAGCCCCCCTCTGAAAAATTTTAAAGTTTTCTTTCCTATAGAAATGTTAATCTCCTTCTCCCTAGTTTCTTAGTTCTTTAGCTCTGGCTTTGATCACTCCTGTAATCAGTTTCTGAATCCTAGACTAAAGATTGCTCCTAGCCTGAAATCATAGAATTCTCCTATCCCCCTGCTTCTTGATTGTTTTATAAATCAGTTTCTTAACCATAAACAATAGGTTGTTTTTAATCTGAGTCATAGAAGTTTCCTACCCAAGCTTCAGATAACTACTTAAAAGCCTGTGACTTCCCAACATCCCCCAAGCCATTCCGGACCTAACTCTTGAACAATTCCATCCCAGAGAATAAATAGGTTTTAAC